TAAAAGACCATAGGAAGACCTTCTCACAGAAGATCTGAAGAAGGTGTTCTCATAGAACACCAGAGTATTTTTGTATAGAGTATCAGAAGGTCTTAATATAGGAGAACCAATGGTTTTCACATAAAAGACCAGAGGGTCTCCGTTAGAAGACCAAAGGGTATCCGCCTAGAAGACCAAAGGGTCTCCGCCTAGGAGACCAGAGGGTCACATTTGAGAAAACCAGAGAGTCTTCTCAGAGAAGATTTGAAGAAGGCCTTCGTTTAGAAGACATGAAGACGGTCTTCTTTAAGAAGACCTAAATAAGGTCTTCTTTTAGAAGACCAGAAGAAGGTCTTCTTTAAGAACACTTAAATATGGTCTTCTTTTAGAAGACCAGAAGAAGGTCTTCTTTTAGAAGACCAGAACAAAATCTTTTCATAAAATACCAGAAGCTCTTCTTATAGAAAAACAGAAGAAGGTCTTCTCATAGACGACCTGAACAAGGTCTTGGTTAAGAAAACAAGCAGAACGCCTTTTCAAAGAAGACCAGAAGGTCTTCGTTTAGAAGACCTGATGAAGTTCTTCTCATTGAAGATCAGAAGGCCTTCGTTTCAAAAAGGCAAGAATGTCTTCGTTTAAAAAGACCTGAAGAAGTTCTTCATTTAGAAGACCTGAAAAAGGTCTTAGTTTAGAAGACATGAAAAGGTGTTTGTTTAGAAGACGTGAAGAAGGTCGTTGTTTTGAAGATCTAAAGAGGGACTTTGTTTAGAAGATCTGAAGAAGGTCTTTGTTTAAAATACCTAAAGAAGGCATTCGTTTGTTCCGAAAAGGGCAGAAAGTAATTTCCGAGAAGGGCAAAAGGTCTTCTCAGAGATGGGCAGAAGGTCTTCTCAGAGAAGGGCAGAAGGTCTTCTCATAGAAGACCAGAAGATCTTCTCGGAAGGTCGTCTCAGGACAGAAGGTCTTTTAGAGAAGGGCAGTAGATCTTCAGAGAGAAGGGCAGTAGGTCTTCTCAGAGAAGAGCAGTAGGTCTTCTCAGAGGAGAGCAGTAGGTCTTCTCAGAGAAGAGCAGTAGGTCTTCTCAGAGAAGAGCAGTAGGTCTTCTCAGAGAAGAGCAGTAGGTCTTCTCAGAGAAGAGCAGTAGGTCTTCTCAGAAGAGCAGTAGGTCTTCTCAGTAGGTCTTCTCAGAGAAGAGCAGTAGGTCTTCTCAGAGAAGAGCAGTAGGTCTTCTCAGAGAAGAGCAGTAGGTCTTCTCAGAGAAGAGCAGTAGGTCTTCTCAGAGAAGAACAGAAGGTCTTCTCAGAGAAGAGCAGTAGGTCTTCTCAGAGAAGAGCAGTAGGTCTTCTCAGAGAAGAGCAGTAGGTCTTCTCAGAGAAGAGCAGTAGGTCTTCTCAGAGAAGAGCAGTAGGTCTTCTCAGAGAAGAGCAGTAGGTCTTCTCAGAGAAGAGCAGTAGGTCTTCTCAGAGAAGAGCAGTAGGTCTTCTCAGAGAAGAGCAGTAGGTCTTCTCAGAGAAGAGCAGTAGGTCTTCTCAGAGAAGAGCAGTAGGTCTTCTCAGAGAAGAGCAGTAGGTCTTCTCAGAGAAGAGCAGTAGGTCTTCTCAGAGAAGAGCAGTAGGTCTTCTCAGAGAAGAGCAGTAGGTCTTCTCAGAGAAGAGCAGTAGGTCTTCTCAGAGAAGAACAGAAGGTCTTCTCAGAGAAGAGCAGTAGGTCTTCTCAGAGAAGAGCAGTAGGTCTTCTCAGAGAAGAGCAGTAGGTCTTCTCAGAGAAGAGCAGTAGGTCTTCTCAGAAAAGAGCAGTAGGTCTTCTCAGAGAAGAGCAGTAGGTCTTCTCAGAGAAGAGCAGTAGGTCTTCTCAGAGAAGAGCAGTAGGTCTTCTCAGACAAGAGCAGTAGGTCTTCTCAGACAAGAGCAGTAGGTCTTCTCAGACAAGGGCAGAAGGCCTTCTCTCAGAGAAGGTCAGTAGTTCTGCTCGTTGAAGTATCGTTTTAATGACCAGACATATTCCGGCCTAATTGTACTGAATTTTCCCAGACTAAAAAATATCTGTACCCTTATGTCAGATTTAATAAATCTTTTTTTTTGTAATTTTCTTAATCGCTTCAAACACCCTGTGTTACAAAATTACATTTCTCAAAGTTTCCAATTACAAAATATTCCATATATTTTTTGCTATTTCATAATCGAACAGATGTCACTCAACCTAATTCTTATTCAATACCCTCTTTCCCTCCTCTCCCTCCTTCTCAAACTTGTATAAGATTTCCTCAATTTCACCTCCCTCCCAGCTAATCATTATTGGATAATTTGCAATTGAAATTAAGGAAAGAACAACAAAACAAACAATAAATTAAGAATTGTAAATAAAACAGTGCGTGTTTCTCGCTATAAATTCCGCAATGGCAAAAAAGGCGAAAAACAAATATTCCGCCACTTAAAAAATGAAAATTGGAAACAGTTTCGTTTCAAGTCGCCTCAATTAGTGCCGATTAAATGAAATGATAACAACAAGTCCATTAATATCGTCATTTGCCTCTTAGTCATTAGGGGTTTGGGAATGTGTGTATCGCCCTTTGATAATTCTCATTCTGATAAGGCGTGCGTACCTGTTACCAGCTAACGCACTTTAAATCACAGAGTTGCCATCAAGAAATTGAATTCGATAAGTTTTTTTTTCGTTCTTTTCAATGCTAAAAAATTTAACATTTTTTTTTGAGATAAGATTAAGGGGCAAAGAAAATTCCACAGCCTCGAGTGCCATAAAAATAATGTCTGGCCGAATTAGTCAATTTGTTTTCAATTAAAGTGATTACCATTGCGACAATGACTAATCATGTTTTGCTAGAAATTGGGAATTGTTCTTTTTATTTTTTATTAAAAAGTATTGAATTTAGACTCACTGAAAAAAAAACAAGTTAAATAGCAGCTGAATTCGGCCTGGCCCCCCACAGTTGAAAAAAATTTGAAAAACTACAATTTTTTTCGAAAAATACTAATTGAATAAAAACCGTGGAAAACCATTGCCATAGGCTGTAGTACCCATTAGGTCCTTCAAACACGAAATTTGAAATAATTCCGGTTTAAAATATCTCTAAAATAATAAAAATAGCGAATATTGGGAGGTACCGTTTTATGGGGGTTATATGAAAACGTGGACCTGGACCAGCATGGATAGTTTTCTGTCATAGGTTGCAGTACCCTTTACGAACTTCAAATACGAAATTTGAACCAATTCTGGCAAATAATGTCTCGAAAATCCTCAAAATACCGAATATTGGGAGGTATCCTTATATGGGGGCTATATGAAAACATGGACCTGCATGAATATTTTTTTGTCATAGGTTGCAGTACCCTTTATGAAGTTCAAATACGAAAATCCAAACAATTCTGGCAAATAATGTCCCGAAAATCCTCAAAATACCGAATATTGGGTGGTATCCTTATATGGGGGCTATATGAAAACGTGGACCTGCATGGATAGTTTTTTGACACAGGTTGCAGTACCCTTTACGAACTTGAAATACGAAATTTGAAACAATTCTGGCAAATAATGTCCATAAAATCCTCAAAATACCGAATATCGGGAGGTACCCTTATATGGGGGCTATATGAAAAAGTGGACCTGCATGGATAGTTTTCTGTCATTGGTTGCAGTAGCTTTTACGAACTTAAAATGAGAAATTTGAAACAATTCTGGTGGAAGATGTCTTTAAAATCATAAAAATACCGAATATCGGGAGGTACCCTTATATGGGGGCTATACGAAAACGTGGACCTGCAAGGCCATTTTTTTGTCATGGGTTGAAGTATCCATTACGAACTTCAATTATGAAATTTGAAAAAATTTCATTGAATAATGTCGCTTATATCATCAAAATTCCGAATATTGGGAGGTATCGTTACATGGGGGCTATAGGAAGACATGCACCTACATAGACAATTCTTTTCCAGGAGGTAAAGTACTCAGAAGGAACTCCTTGTGTAGAAGTTCAGATAATTCCATTGAAAAATGTGACTAAAATCGTCACAATACCAAATATCGGGAGGTATCTTTATATGAGGGCTATACGAAGACGTGGACCCGTATAGACAATTTTCCGTCAGAAGTTGAAGTATCCATTACGAACTTCAAATACGAAATTTGAAACAATTCCGTTGAATAATGTCGCCAATATTAAACAAATACCGGAAAAAAGGGAGGTACCTTTGTAGGTGTGCTATACGAAAACGTGGACCTGCAAGGCTATTTTTGTCATAGGTTGAAGTATCCATTACGAACTTAAAATATGAAATTTGAAACAATTCCGGTGGAAAATGTCTTTAAAATCATAAAAATACCGAATATTGGGAGGTACCTTTATATGGGGACTATAAGAAAACATGGACCTGCATAGGTAATTTTTTCTCATCGGTTAAAGTACCCATTACGAACTTCAAATAGAAAATTTCTAGACCGGAAGAACATCTGTAAAATTATAAAAATACCGAATGTTTGGAGATACCATTTTTTGGGGACTATACGAAAACAGGGACCGACATGCCCCATTTACGAACTTAATCTGTTTAGGAGCAAAATACACATGTGTGCAAAATTCTAATTCTTTGTCCGCAAGATAACGTGCTTACAACCGACAGACAGACGTCACTAAATCGTCTTAGAATTTTACGCTGATCCAGAATATTTATACTGTGTAGGGTCTATCCTGAATACTTCGAGGTGTTACAAAGTTAATATGTGCCCCATAGAATGATGGAGGGCATAAAAATATGTAGTCCTACATTGCGTATAAGTAATATTAATAAAGGTGCAAGGTGGGGTATACTTTCTGCATTAATCATACGCACTGTTGCCATTTTTCAGAACTTCGCATGTAGACGTATGATTAATTTGAATATCATTAATGATAGTTACACTATGGCGTATGACTAATATCAATTTAAGTTTCCTTATTTTTTTTTTTTTTTTTATTTTGAAATAAAAATAGTTATCAATAACAACTTTCCTCTTTTTCTTCTCTTTTGCAGTGCGGCATGCGCCATCCTAACACTGGACTAAGTGAAGACGACCTAAGTCGTCTTACCGGTTCATCATCTTCGTCAGCATCTTGTCGTAGTAATAATTGTAATTCCACATCCTCTTCTTCCTCGTCTTCGTCGTCGTCCTCGGCGTCGTCGTCATCAGCGTCGTCGTCTTCATCATCATCGGCTTCGTCGTCCGGTGCCAATACTCCCGAAGAATGCAAACATATCAACAAAAGTAACAAAAAACATAATTCGCCAAGCAAGCATCACCATCATCAGCATCATGTCTCCACCATACCCTCGGAACATTTGGAGAATAACAAAAACACACAACACCATCACCACCACCACACTCACCATCAACAACAATTCAATTCCACCTATCTACCGGAAATCATCAACCCCTTAGAATGGCAGAAATCCCGTAAACGTAAGGAACGCCTGGACAGCACCTCGTCTACGATCCAGGATCGTAAATTACAGCGTTCGAATAGTGAAGAACTCTTGCCACCAGATGGCACTAGGTTGCAAAATAACAATAATGTAGCATCGACACCGGCCGATTTGGGGGTGAATGCCCTCAAGTCGTCGCTGAAGAATGTCGAAAATATTAGGCGTGTCTCATCGGAAGATTTCAAGCGCACTCCCTACGAGGTCTACGAACAGGAGCTGCGCGGCGAGCCCCGAGAGCTGGACGATGGCAACAGTTCCATTGGTCATTTGGGCAAAACTTCCGATGAGAATGATGGCAGTTTGGCTAATCGCCAACAACGGCAACAACAGTCATGGACTGTGGGTGTACCCATCAAGGATATGACCCGTCGTTCTCGGTATGAGACCAGTCCAGCCCGTTCACAGCGTCACTCACCCATCAGGGTGTGTTTCAGCAACGGCAATGGCAGCAAACAGCAGCATCGAGACAGCGATGACAGTGAGTGTGAACATGAACGTCGCCGCAGCAGCGAACGTTTCTGCAAATCCCGGGCCCCACCAGGACGCAAGGCGTCCGGGGTCACCAAGAAATCCACCAGTTCCACCAGTGCCATGAAATATTTGCCTTCCAAGCTGAGCGATGAAAATGTCTACAAATACGATTTGTCAGCACTGAAATACGAGAGGCGTGGCTTCATCTCCAAGAAGTCCTCCCAACCCCCGCAGGAGAAAAGCAACAACAACGACTTGAATGACAATAATTTGATTGATTTCAACAGTGGCTCGTCGGTGACGAGTGCCACCACCAACAAATCTATGAGCAAAAATCTCTCGCCAACGACTTCATCGAATGGGTCCACAGATGATGTTCATCACACGGTGACCGCTCCTCCACCACCTCAACCAATGGCCTTACAGAAGACTTCAACATCGACCTCATCGGCCAACAGCAGCAAGAGCAACAGCCAGAGTAGTCTACACAAAGTTCCCCATACCATCTCAGCACAGGAATCACTGCCATGGGATCGTTCCGTGCCCGAAGACCAAACTCCTGTCTTGAGTCGTCGCTATGCCACTGTGAGGCCCCACTATGTCGACAGCATTGATACAGCGGCCAAGCTATCCAAGGTCAAACCCTATCCCCAGCCGCATTTGAAACAAAATCCCATGACGGCCCAACTGCTGGCCAACGATTTGGACGATGATGATGTCATGGATCCCAGTTTGACCAATTTCCGTGCATTTACCACGTTGGAGAATATCAAGACTCGTGAGCTAATGCAACAGGTCTTGCCAAATGTAATGTCCTTCCAATCGCCCGAGGAACGTATGCGTCAGATAAATAAACGTGTAACGGCTTTAAAGAAAAAATTGGGTCAACTGGAGGATTCGTATGAACAAAAATCGGGTTATAAACCCTCACAGGCTGATCGTTTGAATGACAAATATATGAAGAATATTCTCTCCGAATTGAGTAAGCTGCGCAAGGAACGCCACGAATTGAAGACGGATCCAATGTCAGCCCTGGGCCTTAAGGTCAGCGGTGGCATGGATGCCGAGCAGAAATTGCAGAAAATGAAGGTGACGCTAAGGGAAATCGAACAGGTGAGTTAAATGGGGAAGAAATTGACATAAAATTCGAAAAAGTTTTGGGTTGAAATTGCAAGAACTTTAAATAAAATTACATTTAAGAAATAATGTAGTTGTCCTTGAAGAAAGAGGTCCTTGAAGCAAATATTTTGAAGAAAGTCTGTGTTTTTCGGGGCATGATGGTCAAAAATACCGTTTTTCTTTTGGGAATATACCTCTTTAACTGCTTTATTTTTAAAATATGTCTACATAAGAGCCATTACCTTAAAGAGTGCCCTCAAAGTTACTATATCCTGGAGAATGAATACTTAAAGCAAACTTTACATAATGGAAGAGTCCTTTAAAGTATACTTTCTTAATGAAAGGTCCTCAAAAGTACCTCCCGAAAGGGTTCAAAGGGTTAAACAAAGGCGACTTATGTTTAAGAAAGAGTCTTCAACAGTAAAAGGTTTCCTGAAAATCACACTTTGTATTAAGATGGGCTCTCTCAGGAATCGATTTCTATGGAATGGGTCCTCAACTGGAAAAGGGTCCTTAAAATAACATTTTCTTGGAGAATAGGTTCTCATAAGAACCAATGTTTATGAAAAGGATCTTCAAAATAGGTGAGAAAGAATTCTCAAAAAGTCATTCTAACAAATTCCTTTCACGCTTCGAATTCCGGGAGTGCCTGAGGGAAAGCCCTTTAAAAATTCAAGCTTAAAACTCTAAGGGTGCCTCAGAAAAATTCCTTTAAAAAGTATGCTTAGATTCTGGGGATGTCTTCAAAAATCTCCTTTAAAAATCTACGCTTAAAATCTAGGGGTGTCTTCAAAAAATGCATGTTTAGAGCTCTGGGAGTGGCTCAGAAAATTCCTTTAAAAAATCCACACCTAGAGATCTGCGAGTGGCTCATAAAATTCCTTAAAAAAATCCACACCTAGAGATCTGCAAGTAGATCAAACAAATTCCTTTAAAAATCCACGCTTAGAAATCTGGGAGTGGCTCAGAAGAAATCCTTTAAAAATCCACGCTTGGATCTTTAGGAGTATCTCAGAAAAATTCCTTTAAAAATTTACGCTTCGAAATCTGGGAGTGGCTCAGAAGAAATCCTTTAAAAATCCACGCTTGGATCTTTAGGAGTATCTCAGAAAAATTCATTTAAAATCCACGCTTAAAGGTTTGATAGTCCCTCCAAAAAAAATTACTCTAAAATCCTTGCTTAAAGGTTGAATAGTCCCACCAAAAAATTTCTTTTAAAAATCCACGCTTAGAGCTCAGAAAAAAATCTTTAAAAATCCACGCTTAGAGCTCTGGGAGTGCCTCAGAAAAAAAAAAAACGTTTAAAAAATCCACGTTTAGAGCTGTAGGGGTGCACAAAAAATACCTAAGAAATCCAGTCCTCAAAAAAAAATCCTTTAAAAAAACCCAGCCTAAAAAATCCACGCCTCAAAAAATTCCCTAAAAAATTCACGCCTCAGAAAAATTCCTTAAAAAATCCTTGCGCCGGAAATATTCCTTAAAAAATCTACGCCTCGGAAAAATTCCTTAAAAAATCTACGTATCGGAAAAATTCCTTAAAAAAATCATGCCTCGGAAAAATTCCTTTAAAAAATCCTTGCCTCGAAAATATTCTCTAAAAAATCCAGGCCTCAAAAAATGCCTTATAAAAAATTCCTTAAAAAATCTACGACTCGGAAAAATTCTTTTAAAAATCTACGCTTTGAGCTCTAAGAGTGTATATACCCCCAGAAGGATGCTCCCTTAAAAATCGTTGGAAATGTGACCCGAAAAACACACATATTTAATGAAGTGTTGCTCAAATCCTTAATTGGAGAGAGAGGCTTCATAAGCATCTTCAAAAAATCCCTTTCTTGAAGAAGGGGTTATAAAGTGCACCCATTTCTCCGCCTTTTCCTAATACCAGGCTTCTCAAAAGGGAGCCTTTTAGGAGAAAGAGGTGCAAGTCATATAAATGGGCCTCTCAATAACACTCTTCTAAGCGAAAGGCCTATAAAAGAGTATTTTCGTAGAGAAAGGATCGATAAAAAAACTCAGCTTAAAGATATGATTTTCAGGAGCTAGTCTTCATAGAGAAAGGGTCCTTAAAAATCAGTTTTTAAAATAAGATCTACATAAATCTGGGATTCCTAAAAAGAATCATCTTTTCTGCATAAAAAAGGGTTTTTTAATCCCCTTTCTATAAAGTAGGCATACCTGGGCATGATCTCAACACCTGGATGCCTTACCAATACTTTTCAGCTGCAAAATCGCCATCACGTCACATTGTGATGTAATCTTCCGCATTTCCCTATTTCATTTCTAAAACGCCATTTGTTAAAGTGCATTTTGAAAAACAAAACCAAAAGCAAGAACAACAACAACAGCACAATAAAATCCCAGACTCATTTGGCACATAAAATATGGCACTTCAAATCAACAACAGCAACAACACTAGCTGGCCGCCAAGGTCTTTTGCGTCTTTTGTTGTTGTCCACTCTGCGACCTTAGCAGGTTCGTAGACAATACAATTTCGTTTATTATACCCCTAATATTTTGTATCTTAATCCCCAAAAAAATACATGGTCTCCCCCCTTTCCATCTCCGCCGCACCTCTATAACATGGGATGGTGATTAGAAAACAAATATTGGAACTATGTCAACATGCTTGGAATTACGTTCAAGGCACTTTAAGAGAAGTGCATTAAAAGTGGCGAGGGGGAGGGTAGGAATATTTTTTTCTCGCTTTTCTTATCTGAAATGTTGGAAATGGACGATAAGAACCCAAGGGGTATTACAAAGAAATTTATGAGCTAAACAAACACGCTCGGCCAGAGCAGAATCAAAAAATTGAAAATCAATCACTGCCTTTGGACAATTTATGCAAACAATTAACAAAATGTGATCAGATTTCACACATTTTCAGGGGCCATTAAAAGAGAGCGAAAGAGAGAGAGATAGAAAGGAAAATTGAAAATTCACACACAAATGTCAATCAATCATTGTTTATTTATTTGGTTATTTTGTAGACATGTGTTAATATCCACAAAACACTTAATTAAGGCAAAAAAAAAAAAAAAAAAACACAAAAAAATGGAAGAACATGAAAACAGAGAACTGTCTCATTTTTTCTTCCCATTCTCTGGAATTCCATTGTTGCCGAATTCCGTTTTCATTGCTGTTTTTGTTTAACCCGTAGATATTTTTTGGCAAATTACGCAGTAGCGTCCCCGCTTGACATCTTTGCTCTTTAACCAAATCCCCCTGCGGAACCTCCCAAAAAAAGGTGGCATCTTCATTATCATCAGCATTGGCTGGGCAAGAGATTCCCATACACATATATGTATATGTGTATGTCTGTATATTTACCATGTATATATATTTTGTGTCTGGCCGTAGCACGAGATTGAATAGCCGCCAAATATAAAAATCAAAACAAAATACCAAAAGAATAACAACAACAACTACCCCGTATTGTTTTCTATACATACACTTTGCATATATTATATGCGTACATACATATATTTATATTATTCAAAGTATACAACTGACAAACAAACCTACACGTACTACTCACACGTCGTCCGAGGAATTTGGCCAAACGACGAGGGTCGTGCCATTCATCATCCTCGGCGCACATCTGGCATAATGACATTTTCGATTTTTTTTAAAAGGATGGTTTTAGAACAGATGCATATTTCGATTAGTTACAAACAAAATGACAAACTTAATATACCCTCCATACTATGTCTGATGGAGGGTATAAAAATTTAAATTAAAATTTTTAGGAAGTCCAGGTCATTGGGTAAACACTTGCTTATATGAGAATACTAGCAAGTTGCCCGCTACGTTCACCTTAAAATTGTAGATTCGTTTCAATTGTTTGTGTTAGTAATTTTTCTACCCTGGTAAGGGTATTATGTCTTGGTGCATTTGTTTGTAACATAGAAAAGAAAGCGAGATAGACCCATGGTTACTTTTGAGGATCTTCAAAGAAAAACTTTCTAAGTCGATTTATATTGAGATGAAATTTTCCAAACAATATTTGTTTGGCCCAAAGACGAACCCTATTGAAATTGGTGAGAATCGGTTCAAATTTTTATATACAGCTGCCATATATATCTTTTGGGTTAATGGCCAATATCAGTCCAAATGACCGGAATTTTCGCACATCCAATCGAATTTAGTCTAGAAGCAAGTACAACAAATTTGGTGAAAATCGGTTCAGATATAGCTACCATACCTACAGGGTGGGATAAAAAAAAGTCAAATGCCATAATTTTTACATTTTTTTTATTTCTTTTTAAATTTTTTGATTGAAAGCAAAAATGTCGGAAATAGCATCAAATTATGGTCTCAAACGGTCAATGCAACCGGCACCCGCTGCCTGAACGTTGCTCAGCGGTATTTTGGCCCATTCCCGGCGAAACGCCTGCTTGAGGTGACCGACACTTTGGTCTTTTTATTAGTGCCAACCTTGCTTTCCAAAATACTCCAGACACAATAGACCAATGGATTGGTATCCGGAGATTTTGGTGGCCATTGTGGGCTGGAAATGAAACGAGGAATCCGATTTTGTAACCATTCTTGGGTGGCGCGTGCTGAGTGCCATGGTGCTGAGTCCTGTTGGAATGTCCAAGGTCTGCGGCCAAAATGTTTGTGTGCCCAAGGCTTTAAGACACCCTCCAGAATATTTTCGCGATTATATTATGCATTTATTCTAATGCCACGGTCGATTAATACGAGCGGAGAGCGACCATCGGTTGTTATGGCGGCCCACACCACACCATCACCATGGCCGGCACTTGAGTTCTGGTGGCCAACCGAAGGTGCACCTTTTCAACTGACCTCTTTGGCAAGTGCACACGATCATTTTGTTTGTTTACGAATGTTTTCTCATCGGCGACGGAGAAAACCAAATTCGGCAGTTCACCACTTTCGGCCAAGCGAAGCAACTCTTTAGGTCTTTTGAGTCTATTTTCATTCTGTTGCGGTGTAAGTTCTTGCATTTTTTGGAATTTCAATGACTTTACCCT